GCCAGAGCTTTACGGACAGAAGGGCCTGTGAAGCATTTCACGCTCGGCTTTGAGAGCCCCGTGACGGAGGCTGGAAGTGCTGGTGGTGGAGCTGGTCCTCGCTGCGGTTCCCTGTCGTTAACGGCTGTTGGGTGCGCTCAGCCCCGGAGCCCCCTCTGATGGTGCTGGAGCTGCTGGACAGGGACGCGGTGCTTTCCACGTCGCCGTGTGGTGGGATGAGCCGTGGGTTGCTTTCCCTTTGGTTTCCTTAAAGGAGATAAATATCATTTAGTGCAGGATTAGTCTGCTCAGAAGCCGGCTGCTAACTCGCTGACGATGGCCAGCGTGTCGCTGCTGGGGGATCCAACCCCTTCGGGTGCTCCAGGCACCGGGAGGTTGAGCCCCGTGTCGGAGGAGCGGGTGCTGGCGGTTCGGGAGGCGCGAGCTCACGTGTGCAGTGGGGTTGGTTGGCGCGCGTAGAGGGGACCGCTGCTATTCCGGTCGGAAGGCGGTAATCCTTCGGGCGGTTCGATGGGCTGGATGTTTTATCTGGTGCTTCCCTAAGCTCTTAGGGATTTTGTAACTTGTGTCAGAAAAGTGAGAAAGACTCTGTACAAATATTTGAATGCTCATAATCCTTTAATTTAAAGAAAAAAAAAAAGCTTAAAATGCTTTCCAAGTGCTCTTATCATGGCTGAGATGAAACAGTTAATCTGGAAAGATATTTCAGTGGCCATAGGCAAGTGAAAATAGGTGGTGACCTCCAGCCTGCAATGCCTGATTCTCAGCCTCGCACAAAACTTTACTCTGCTGCCCTGAACTGTTGTGAAATTCCCCGTTGGCCGTCTGGTCGGCCGGTGGGTCTGTGTGTAAAGGGAGGAGAGAATTTGTGCAGCTCCTTGCACAACTGTCCTGGCCCGAGCCCTTCCCTTCAGGCGGGCGCGCAGCATCGCCTTGAACTGCACGGCAACAGGAGGAATTTGGGGGCAGAATGAAGAGTAATGAATCCAGCTGGAATTGCAGTGGAATTCCTGAGCAGTTTGAAGAGCGGCCTTTTCCAGTTAAAAAAAAAAACCAAAACATCAATAAATACGTAATGCTCCCAGCGAAGGTGAAGGTTTTGAGAAATGCCTGCAGCTGGAATCCTGTTCCCGGAGGCGCTGGCTCTGAGACACGCGGGGCTGCAAGGCCACCACGGGACCTGGGGCCAGAAACCCCCCAGGCTTCGCCGCTGTGGGGCAGCTCCTCCCCAAAGGCGGCACCCGGCGGCTGCACCCCGCACTCATGTCCGTTCCCGACTGGAAAGCGGAGAGGGAAGGATTTTTGCAGGCGCCTCCTGTGCTGCCGACATCCAGCCTGTGTCCGGGTGCCGAGCATCCTCCCCCGTGCCACGGCTCGACGTTATCCCCGAGAGCGGCTCGGGGGCTTCCCCGCGGGTTCCCTGCCGCAAGGTGGGGTGTTTATCTCGGCTGAACTGGGCAGGAACCGGCTTCCCTCTCGTCGCCACGGAGCTTACGCCGGTCCGAAACCCTGAGCAGCCTGGGCTCTGCGGAG